GCCGTTTTTGATGTCAAACGACACTCTTATTGTGCTGTCCTGGAGGAGTTCCTGTGCGCACTGCTCCAGGTGCACTGTAACGGCCACATTGCCTATCCTCTGCTCAGTACCTCTCAATTTCAGTGGGAGTATTTTTGACGTGTAATGCACTCCCATAGTCGCCTCGGTCACTTTTTCGAGAGCTTCGTTTAGCTTTTCGGCCGTCGCCGCGGCTTCGTCTTCACCTCTTAATTGCTGCACCTCTATAAGGTGGCTCAGCTTCGCTTGCGCCAGGTGCACGTTCTTGATTCTTCGTATGTATGCGCGTTCCTTCGTGACATGATGCTCGATCGCCTCGCTCACTTGGCGTTCTAAGCCCTCGAATGTTACCTCTGTCGACCCTTCCGGTGTCTCGTCCATCTTCGTGCTGTTGCTATTCTGCTTGTCGCTCGCACGGGATGTTTCTCTTTTGCCTCTGCACGGTATGCTACTCGCTATCATCTCCAGCTCTACGATACGGTATGCATTGGTTGCTTGCTGTCGCAAAACTGAGCTGCACAGCCCTACCCCCTTAACGTGGTATTTACCTATTCCACTCCCCTCGATGAGTTCGGTGGTATCTTCTCGTCGGCTCACTGCGTGATCGCTAAGCTCGAACGTAGTTTTTTTGCATGTTTGTCATGTACGGGCTCGGCGTCTCTGGGTTTTTTCCCTTTTCCTGGACTCTCGCGTTACGTACCTCTTCTTGCGCCTCTCCGTCCCTTATCCTGGGCTTGATCGGCTCGATTTCCATTAGCTCCGATCCTACTTTCCGTTGGATCCTCCCTATATCTGAATCTTCCTCCTCGTCACTGGTAAGTATGAACCTTCTATTTTCTTTTTTCTTCTCACGACTAACCCTTTTTCTTTTCAGGTGTCGCTCCATCGCTATCCGGCTCCAGGGATTCTTCCTGACTGACGTCATCACTCCCTTTCCGGTACATCGTAGGTTTCTTCGGTCCTTGGTAAGTATCTTTTTATCCCTTAGCTTATTTTCAGAATTTTTTTCAGGTTTGCCCTCCAATAGGGTTTCCGCTTCAGATCCGCCATCTTGAGTTTGGCCCCTCGCCATTATCTCCTGAACAGAGACCCAATACCGTTTGATTTACCGGTAACGCTATTACAGTTACAAAACTGAATACCGAAATAGTGGAATATCGTAATCGGCTATACCGAAATAATTTCAGTACTCATACATTGTTACGGTTATCGAATATCGTTATAATATCGTTACAATACCGATATTAATATCCATATCGTTATAATGCCAAGTTTGTAGAAGCAGTCACACATGAGTCAATTTTTAGCGAAATTAATTTTATTAAAATGTTTATAAGAATAGAACGTAACAAGGAATATATATATATCATAGAATAATAATTATAACATATAACATAGAAGTAATTCAAGTAATAGTTTATAATATATAATTGAAAAGTAGTTTATAATATAGAATATTAATATCATCTGTCCTAGATATCTTAATTGTATAGTGGCAAAATTTTATAAATGGTTGCAACGGACTACGAGAATGTCATCAACTAATTCTTTTGAAAGATTAGATCTTAGCGGGGATAGAATGAATTTTAAAGCGGAGAATAGACGTTCTACGCTGACTTGTGTAGCCGGAGCGGCTAAAATAATCTTTGAGAGCTCATACAGTTCTGGCATCGCTAATTTTTTGTTTTCCCAAAACTCCAAAATGCTTTCTTTGGTCTTTAGCCTTGGATGTTTTGCATGGGTTTCAAGGGCATTGATAATGTTTTCAATAACAGTTGTGCATTTGTTCCGACGGCGTCTTTTTTTCTTTTCCGCGTTTCGGAGCAATATCTCCATTTCATCTGCATCCGATTCCTCATTACCGGAAACTGCTGTATCAGATGTTGTATCGGCGCTTGTGTTTTTTCTCACTCTCTGTATATGAAGCCATATCTTTCGAATATAAATCATAGCTCTCATCGTTTCCTGCACGGATAATAATAAAACGGGTATCCATGAACATTCCTGCGAGAAATGGTTCTGATTGAAAAAGTTGCTTTTCTCGGGCTTTCATTGCTCGCACTAAGGCTTCAGATAATGTTGTGCCAAACTTTTGTGTACGGAGGATACAACATGTCCATTCTTTGTATAAATCCCCGAAAGTCAACTGTTCACGTTGTAGATTTTTAGTGGCTACTCTGCATGGCGTAAGAGTTTGGACAATACTTTTAATCTCTGTCCATGCTTCTTGTGGCATATGAAGCTCTTCATTGGTCTCGCAGATATCATGGAACTCCAGTAACCGCTCCAACATATCAACTGTTGAGTTCCATCGAGTCACGCAATCAATTATTGGTTTACGCCGCTTCATTGCTTTTAGTATCCTCTTTAATGTCGGCGTTCGTAATTTTTTCACTAATTTACGTGCATTTTCAATTGTTTCTCCCAGAGCACAACTTTTGAAAGCATCACCTATGGCCAACTGTAAAGTGTGTGCCGCACAGCTTATTGACCGTACATTGTACTCAGGAGAACTTATTGCTACGGGATGACCAGTGTAGTTTCTTACATTTATTTCTGTGTCAGAAGAACCTTCCGCATCAGCGGAAAATTCATACGGTTCTGACAAAACAATATCAGAAAAATCATCTGATTCATTCCATGTTACCATGTGTGCATCCGCATCGTCTTCATCAGAATGTTCTGTGACATCCTCCTCTTGAATAATATCTACGAGCTGCTGGCTACCCAACAATTTTATCATTTTTTGCATATTGGACGCGTTATCTGTCGTTATGGTGTAAAGTTGATGGATAGATATACCATACATATTCAGTATGCTCAATATTTCTAATTTAAGAGCTTCCGCTGTATGACGTTCTGTCATTTCCACAACGGCAAGAGTTTTTAACACTATTTTCTTATTGTATATGTACTGTAAGTTTACACCTAAAAAGGAGCGATCCATGCATGTAGCGCAATCAACTTTTAAGCTTACTAATTTACCTTCAACTTCTTTGGCAATTATATCACGAATGGATCGTGCCCGTTCAGTGACAGCTTTTTTTATTTTTGCAGCATTGACGGTAATAATTTTGTTTATGCCAGAACCTAGTATCATCTTAATAATGTTCTTGAATGCTATATCATCCATCAGAGCAAAAGGTCGTCCATGCACACAGTGACAAGATTCACACATTCGTGTATGACTCGCTCTTCACGTGCGCGTTTTCTAGGGCTTCCATCTGATGGATCATCAAAACAGGAGGATGTATCTTGGAAAGACTCACACTTGTATTGTTCATTTTTCATCACAACGGTAGTATATGTATTTCCGTGATTTTTCGAAAGGTGGGATAGCAGGTTTGACGCATGATTGCCCTGTACAAATCATATTTGTTAATATTTGATAACGAAGCTTGCGGAGATAGATTTTGAGCAGAGACTGCCATCAATTTTTGATTGCAGAAAGGCAACAAATTGTGCACAGAGTTTGTATTATCCGATATTGTCAGAAATATGACAAAAATTGCTAGACATGCTATGTCTATGAGAGAATCAGAACCTGTCTATAGTTTTGTAGTCAAAATCTGATCAAGTTTTTTGCCAATTTGACCTCGTCAAATTGTTAACATTTTGCTATTAGGATAGTTATTCAGAGATGTACGATGTATGATAATTCGTTATGTACCCTTATCTTCACGTCTACTTTACAAATTGAGCATTTGGACGTTCTCGCGATTCTGTCATAAACAAAATAGCCGTGGACAGCATTCACTTTTGGTCGACCCATTATTACGTTCTGCTGATTCAGATAATTTCACTTAATCATCGATATAAATAATAACCAACCAATATAATAATAATAAAGTAAACGAAGGTTTATTAAACTTTAAGGTTACACACGCTACTGATCAGATTTAGGAAAAAAAAACAATGCCTATGATCAAATACAATCCGACAAACTTCTTAATTCCGAGCGTTCGCGTTTTTTCGAGCGATAACGTGGAAGCAGTAAGCACAAATTAAAAACTGGTGACTCCGGCTAGGTACGAATTGTATGAGTTAATCTAATAATCGGTTTAGCATCCCCTTAAACTAAAACTTTTTCATCACTGTAAACACAAATTTTACGAAGTGACAAATTACCCCTCGAATCATAATAATTATTTTATTTTGAAAATCAAACATAATTTTATATGAATTTGATCCTTACTTGAATTAATCCGAGGCAATAAATAAATAATATTATTATTTAATAACGTTGATATCAATATAAAACCGATATTATATCAATATTCGAACCGATATATATCCATATCGGTATCATGTTTTACTGGTATTTTATCATTTCAGTTTGCCATACCGGTATGAAAAAAAAACCGAAAAACTATCAATATTATTTCGGTACTTCGTTATCGTTATAGGTCTCTGCTCCTGAACCGCTAATCCGATTTGAAAAATTCCTTCGGGGTCCTCCTCCAATTGGCTTTCCGCTTCAGATCCGCCATCTTGGATTTGGCCCTTCACCGCTATCTCGGTAACCGCTGGTCCGATCGAGATGGTTTTTTTTGCGTTGGATTCAGAACTCCTTTGCGATCCTGATCCCTTGTTATTAGTCCTTTTGCACGGTTGGTTCGCGCCCTTTGATCTTGTGTTCCAAAATTTTCTCTTTTTTGGTTTTTCCTTTTTGCTATTTGTTCGGTCAACTTTCGACCTAGTTGACCTCCCTCTATTTCGATTTTGAAGTTCCGCTCGTTTTACTGTTCTTCCGGCGAGCCCTTCAACTTTTTCACGGTGCTTTTGGATCCCACTTGGCCCTGGCTGTGGTTCCTCCTCTTCTTCAGTTAAATCAATCAGGTTGAGTTGCATCGGCGCCATCCTTGGCGCTCTCTCGTTCTGTTCCCTTAGTCTCGCTTCTCGGTGTGGCCTCAATTGCCTTGAGTTATAAACACCGATAGTTGTTCCATTCATATCCTCAATTTCGTACGCATTTCTTCTCACTATGTCTTGATTCTATATGGCCCTCGATACACCAAATGAATCTTCCTCGTCAGCCTCCGGTTTGCATCCGATCTCCTGTGGAGTTTGCACCACACTAGATCCCCCACACGGTATTCCGGTGCTGTAGTCGTCTTCTCGAACTGTTTCAGTCTTTTTTTTGCTGCCATTCGCAAATTCTCTCGGGCTTTCGCGATTCGTTCATTACGTGTCAGTCCATGTACCTCTGTCGGTTTGAGATCTGGGTGGATATTCAGTTGAATCTCCTTGTCTCTATGTAACACGTCCGGTGCATAGCCCGTACTGGCGTGCTCCGTCGCGTTTATTACTGTTTGTAATCTAGGTATTATCCGGTCCCACGTATGGTGTCTATCGCTCGCATACGTGCGAATAACCCTTCCTATCTCTCTCATGACCCTCTCGACTGGGTTGGACTGTGGATTGTAAGGCGCTGTCTTGACAATCTCGAATCCGCCTCCTCCGCAAATTGTGTCCATCTTGGCGTGTTGAACTGCCCCCCGTTATCGGTAAGCACAGTTTCAGGTATTTCCACCTCTGGGAAATATTGCTCCCACAACACATCCATAATTGTCTCTAAAGTTTGGTTAGGCATTGGGTACATCCTGGTGTATTTGCTAAAGTGGTCCATTGCTACCAATATGTACTTATCTCCGCCTCTCGTTCTCGGTAATGGCCCAAAGATGTCCAGAGATATCTTGATCCGTAATTCATAGTATTGATGACCCTCTGTGGCCCTTGAGTAATATTTGGTTGCCATGCACGCGTGGCAGGATGCCACGACATCCCTTGCAATTTTTGCGATATTGAACGCATAAAAATATTTGTTTACGAAGCCTATTACCTTGTCCGTTCCAAAGTGTAATAGTAATTTGTGGACTTGTCGAGTGATTCTCCACGTTACGTCCCTTGGTAACGCCACTCTGTCACCCGTTCCTTCTTCGTTTTTCACCCGATATAATCCGTTTCGTATATAGACTGTTCCGGGGTACTCCCTCGCTGCTTCCTTCAGCTGATCGTCCCTCTCCTGCGCCTCTCGGATTATCGGTATCCATTCTGCCGTATCCACGCCGTCTGCTACGTCTTGGATTATCGCTATCCTCGCGTCGAGTTCGGTTCCGTTATTCGCCCCTGTCATCATTCTTGACAGTGCGTCTGCCTGATTATTTAGTTTGCCTTCTACATGTACAATTTCTAATTCAAATTCTTGGAGGAATGTGAACCATCTTGCGATTCTTGTATTGTTTGTTACACAGGTTTCCAAAAACTTGAGTGCTTTGTGGTCGGTGTGGACGCGCACGTGGCGTCCTAGCAGCATGGTGTGCCACTTTCGCAACGTCCACACGATAGCTAGGCACTCCAACTCCGTTATCGTATAATTTAATTCGGCTCCTTTAACACTACGACTGACGTATGCCACAGTGTAGCCTTCTTCTTCGCCTTCGCGATATTGATATAGTCTTGCCCCTAGTCCGTCCTTCGAGGCATCTACGTATACGCCGAATCTGTATCCCGGCTGGATGAGGTAGAGGTCGTCTGCTTGCTCAAACGCTTCCTGTTCTGCGTCCGTCCATACGAATCGAACGTTCTTTTGCAATAGCTTTTCGATGGGTTTCATCCATCTTGATAAATTCTCGATGAACCTTCGGTCCCAGTTCACGAGTCCCAAAAACGCCTGCACCTGCTTTTTGTTCGCCGGTGGGCTAAAGTTTCTTATCGTTCCCTTTGTGTCTTTGTTTATTTCTGTTTTTATCCGGTTAAAGTGTGTCCCAGAAATGTAATCTCCTCTCTGAGAAATTCGCATTTTTGTTTGTTGAGTTTAAATCCTGCCTTTTGCTGTCTCCCTAACACTTCTTCAATGTCGTTCAAGTGTTCTTCCAATGTCTCGGACGCTATGAGTACGTCGTCCAAGTAGACTATGACCTTTTCCAAGTACTGGTCATCAAGTGCTAAATTCATCGCACGCGTGAACGATGCGCCTGCCGTCTTCAGTCCAAACGGCATGCGGTTGAACACGTACGATTGTCCGTCGAATAGGAAGTCTGTATATTTCCTCAACTCTTCTTCTAGCGGAATTTGCCAAAACGCGTTGGATATGTCCAACGTCGTGAAATATTTTCTGCGACCTATGCGCCTGAACACCTCGTCTATCGTAGGTAGTTGCGCATGGTCGTTTGCCATCCGTTTGTTTAGTTCTCTTGCATCGAGACACATCCTTATGCTCCCGTTCTTCTTAATCACTACCACCAATCGGTTTATATATTGCGTAGCCTGTTTCGCCACTATCCCGTCTTCTTCCAATTGTCGTAGATAGTATACCACGGCTTCCTTATGTTTATCCGGTATCGGATAAGTCTTCTTATACGGCGCTCCCGAAGTTATCTCTATTCGGTGCGCATAATGCTCGACGCATCCAGTGCTTCCGTCGAACATCCTTGCTTTGCTTTCCAACATCTCATCCAATTGGACTTCTGCCTGCTCCATCGTGATGAGTGCTATGTATTTATCATGCTCTTCCTGAACATCGAAGATATACTCAAGCTTCGTTCCGCATTTAACCGATACTCGAGTCTTCGTCAAAAAGTCTGTGCGAAGTATTATTTCATACGTCATTTTCTCCACAATGTAGAATTCATGCTCGCAATGTCGCTCTTCAAATATGAATTCTAACTTCACCTTGTTGGCGATCATCGATCCTCTCTCGGAGAATGCTCCTCTAATCGCAAATTTTCTGATCGGCAATATGCTCATCTCAACGTCGGCCTTGACTAACCTATCATATACTGCCTTCGTAATCGCGGAGATTTGAGCTCCCGTATCAACTAACGCCTTTATTTCAATCATGCTAAATTTTAATTTTACGATCGGCATTATCGATCTGTTCACCTTCGTGCTTTGCTCTCGTGACATTTCCTCCGTCACGTCATCTATAATCCGCTTCAGTCGGATAATGTTAACTTTGTTCCTACCTGCCCTCCTGCTCGGGTCGATGGTCATTGTTGCCATTTGCTGCTTCTTGTTTCCGGTTCCGGATTCCTCTTCGCTTCGACCTTCCTTCGGTCGTACTCCTTGCTTGACGTACTGGTTCCTTCTTCCTTGAGGTTCGTCCAGTTTCCTCGTCTCTTCGCACTTCTTCGTTTGCCTGTCTTCATATGGTATGGCCGCTGCCTTTCTCTACCGCTCTCATAATTCCAATACTTGCCGTATTGCCTTGGTGCTTCGTAACGGTACGCTTCTCTCGCGCCCTTGAAGTTCGCTTTATCTCTATCGTCGGCCCCCTTGATTCATCCTGGACATCGACGTTTTATTCTCCGGTCTCGCCGGTATCGTCTTCGCTCTATTCGTCGTTTCGGCGTCACTGCGCCTCCCATCTGAGATATTCCGTCTCATCTGGCTCTTTTCCGAGTCAATGCTCGTCAACAATTTTCCTAAATCTTTCAGATTGCTTACAGTCGTTGCACGTATCTCCCTTGATACGTCAATGTGGAAGTGACCCTTTATGGCCCTTATGATCTCTATCTCGCTCATCGGTGGTATTAACAATTTTGCCTGTCTTGCGTACTCCAGTGCGTAGTCCGCCATCGTCGTCCCCTTATCCGAGTGATAACGACCTGTATACATCTTCTGGCGGAATCTCGCCTGTTCATCTTCTCCCCAAAAGTGAGAATTTTTCTTTTGCTTCCTCAAATGTGTCTGATTCGTTCAGCTCGAACCAGGTTGCTGCGTTATCACGCATCGTTTTACCGAAGTAGTGTAGTCTATCCTTATCGTCTACACCTTCGTAATCTGCTGTTTTTTCGAATCTCTGTATAAACTCATCGGGTTCTGCTTATCTTTTCTCCCGTGAAATACTAAATCCTCAAATGGGTTTTTCAACCATCCTCCTCGTGGTAATCGTATCCCGGGTTGGTCCACCTCTTGAACCACCCTCTTGTTTCGCCAGTCGAGCTCCTCTCGGTCTCTCGCCTCGATCGGCTCTTCGTCCTCATCGGTCCAGGCATCTATCAATCTTTCTTCCGCTCGCGACATTGGTCTGCTTCGTGGCTTCGTCCCTTTATCGCGGAGCTTTTTCGACAACTCCTATTGTCTAATTCTATGTTCCATGCTCGCCAATCGATCCATGATCGTGGTCAGCATCTGCTGGGTGAGATCCTTTGCCTCTTTTTCCTTCTCGTTGAGCGCCATTGTCCTCTTCTCCTCAGCGATCCGCTTCTCGCTAACGCTGATGATTTTCTCGAACTGGTCGATCCTCGACATCACTACGGCCAACGCCTCGTTGACACTAGTCACACTTTCGTTCACTTGAACTTTCTCCATCTGCTGGTGGAATCCTTCCACTCGTTCTATCGACGATTCCGAAGCACTCTTCCTGGCTTCGCACGTTTCCGTCACTAACACTGCCTTTAGCCCGGTCTGCCTCACCAGGTTAGGGTCCGATGCGACCTCTCGCACCTTACCGCTGCGCATCTCCCCTTTCCTTTTGTTAGGAGTACGCTGCATACTCGTCATATCTGGCACTAATTTTCGCTCTCACTTCGCGAAATTTAATCCTATTGGCCTTAAAAGAATTTATCCGCTTTACGCCAATGGCTTGCTCACTGTTTATTAACCTTTCTTTATGTGCACTCGCGCTTCTATTATTGAACTCGGTCGTCTCATCGACCTTGTTATTGTTTCGTGACCTTGCCTCGAGATAAGATATCGCGTTGTTTTCGCGCACTCGTACGACACTTCGTTTATTTCGCGCGCGCGCGATTCAAATTCCTCGGATAGCTCTGGCCTGTTTTTCCGCGCATTCGCGACCTTGTTATTTGGAATGTCTGCTTGTTTGCCTCGCTTACTCGCGATTTTGTTTACTCGAATTCCGAACTGTTTGTCTCGCTCACTCGCGACCTTGTTTACGAATTCTGGATTGTTCGTCTCGTTTATTGTTTACGTGATCGGTATTTCGTGCTGTTTATGGCCGTTTCTCGGCACAGGTGACCTTTTCACCTTTACTCGCGTCTTTCGCTTATCACGTGATTTTCTTACGCGTTATATTCGCTTTTTCGGCCCAAAATTATCTTTTCGTATATTCGTATGTTAGTTTTCCTGATACCGCTTAAATATATTGTTAAAGTGAATAGGTGAATTTCTATCCTATCACTCACCTAACCTAACCGTTTTAATTATGTAGAATCGATACCTTATCGACCTTATCATGACTTTCGTCCTCTCACGCATCTAGCTTGCGCGTTCTTCCAGCTCGTCCGCTCCTGCTTCCGCCGCGTTGGTCGTCTGACCCTCGACGCGTATTACTCCTGGAACGTAGTCTCGTCCGATTGCACTTGCTTCCACCGTTGTTTCAGCGTCGCAGTCCTGTCACGGTCGCCATTTTCGCGTTAATATCCTACTG